ACAATTTGGCCCTCCCTAAAAAATCTGGGCCCCAGCCTGGCCCACCTGGTATTAAAGTTCTGGCGCCGCCACTGCATAGAAGATAAAAATAATAGAATATTATTGGACCCACAAATGAAAACATCTAGATGGCGAGAATATTTTGAAGAATTACTGAATGGGGAGATACCAGTAATACCAATACCAGCATGGAAAGATCAAAGAGCGGAACAAAAAAGTAAAGGATATATCATTAGATGAAGCAATAAGAACTATAAACCGGCTTAAAAACTGGAAAACCCCCGGGTCAGACGGGATACCAGCTGAACTTATAAAATATGGCGGCTGGGAACTGCGCATATGGAATGAACAAAAACTACCTGAAGAATGGAACAAAGCTATAGTCATCCCAGTGTATAACAAAGGACACAAGATTAGCTGCGATAACTATAGAGAAATATTGTAACTGAATACAGTGTATAAAGTAATCTCCAAAATATTACTAGGACGACTGGAACCACTGGCTGAGAAGTGTATAGGAAGCTACCAGTGTAGTTTTCGGAAATGTAAATCCACAATAGACCAGCTCACAACTATAGAACAGCTAGAAAAGAAATATGAGTACAGACAAAATATATGGCAAGTATTTGTGGATCTCAAAAAATGTTACGATAGCATTCATCAAGACAGTATGAATAATATTATATTATAATGTATGAGTTCGGCTTCCCAAATGAAAACTCATATCACTGACAAAAATCTGTATAAGAATTCAAAGTAATAACAGGGCTTAAACAAGACGATGCACTACCACCAATACCCTTTAACATAGTATTAGTAAAAGTGATACGCAGTGTATGAAGTAATAACCTCGGAATTAATATTGGCAAAACCATGCTAGATGTGCTGGGTTTTGTAGACAATCTGATTTTAGTAGGAGAAAACAAGGAAATGATAGTGCGAAATACCAAAACACTCATTGATGAAGCAAAAAAGATTGGGCTAGAAATAAATGAGGATAAAACGAAATAAATGGAAACGTTGCCTGGAGAAAACCTTACAGTAGATAACTACGTTTTAGAGAAAGCCCAGAGCTTCAAGTATTTAAGAGTAACAATCACTGGTAACAACGAACACCGAATAATCAGTAGCTTGCTCAAAGCGGAAAGGACCTTTTTTGCACTAATAATATATTTTAAGTCAAAACTATATTCTCTAGAGGAACAAAAGTACACCTATACATAAGAATTGTAAGGCCAACATTAAATTATGGGTGCGAAGTATAGCCGATGACAGTGCAAATTGAACGAAAACTCAGATCCTTTGAGAATAGAGTACTAAGAACAATATGTGGACCAGTTTTTGATACCGAAATAAACAGATGGCGTAGAAGAAGAGACAATTAGAACAATTAGAAACCTTGGAACATCACAAAACAAATTGTTTTGAGACTTAATATGAGATATAATGAGTTTTAAAGTGTTTTTCAATGATTAATTCTTCATAATAATAACAATATATTTGTGCATTAAAAATTTAAAAGCCAATTTAAAAAAAAAATGACTTTTACGTCTCTTTTTTTCTGAACCCGGCACTTACACCACAAAGATGTTCTATTGAATACAATGGCTTTCAAAGTCTAATATTGTTATTTTATTAATATTATTGATTAAATTCAATAAAGATTTGTAATAAAATTTTTTAAAAAATTAAAAGTATTAGCTTAAGATTTAAAATCTATATTATGTGAAAATAATTATTTTAGAATTAACAATATTCATATTTAATAAAATGTATATAAACATATACAAATACACTTAAGTACATACTCAGTAAATTATTAAAACTAAATATTAGCCAAATATTTACCCGGGCTCGAATTTATTTTTGAAAATTTTTCTTGTACCTAAGATACTTATAATACCTAATGAATAATATAATATAATGCACTGAGTGCTGGTACCAACATCAATAAGCATTCCATTATAATAATTATTTTTTATTTTTTAGTTTAGGTTTCATTAAAATTATATAGATGTATTGCAATTACTTATTTCTTTTTAAGTAATAATATGTTATAGTAATTTTAAACGATAAAATGAAGCTTACGTTCTATCAGATTTCCTTAAACCAGTGGCGTCATTTCGGTTTTCAATAGAGGGGGCAAAGGTTTTACCGGGCCCAATGGGTAAAAAAAAAACAGCTCCCTTCGCTAGCAACCACGTATTATCTACTTACATTTTTATATGGTACCCTTTTCATTACCAAGGTAACATCATTTTTAAATATAAGGTAGCAGATATTTTAGAAAAACAATTGGATACCTATATCAGTTAAAAGTCAACAAACTATTATATGGCAATAGCCAATAATATTGATGAACAAAAATATTAGTAGTTTATTAGGATATCTTCTATTTTTTTATTTTTGAAAATATACTAACTGCATTATCTATAAATCAGTTTTACCCAATTCATCACTTATAGCCCATACTCTATAACTCTTATATAGTTATATAGGTATACGATATATTTACAAATTAATAGTATCATAAATTATAATATATATTTTTTTTCTAGCCTTAGCTATACACATTTAATATTTTATAAGTTTTGAACTACAAATTAACTGTGGTTTTGACGAAATTTGAACTTCAAATGCATATAAGAAATAACCATGATGCCTATGTATCATTAATATTTTAGCTACAATAAAAACTTACGTATTACATTTTTAAGCTTTTGGACCGGATAAATAATTTTTTAATGACATTTATTGGAAAAAAAAATATTAATTAATCAAATACAATCCAAGTGAGGACGGTATAACCAAGCTGGTTACCAAACAATTTTAATAAATTTTCATTTTTTGTTCCCCAATTAATTAAAAAGCATTGAGCATTTTCAATTTTGACCTCCTAAAAGTACCAACTAGATCCAATTTGCTTCCAAAAACATACATAGGGCATCGAAGCTTATGATCGGAGCATTTTTTCTACCAGAAAAGTTGAAAAGTTCCAAACATTTTAAAATACCTCAAATAAACGTCTGAAATCATTAAACTGGACAAAATAAAAATTACTAATTTTCAAGCCTCCCTTCAACCCCATTGAAAAATCCTACAAACAATTCTGTTAAACATACCAGAAATTATTTTTGATTCTTAAGCACTTTTCGGTAATTTTATATTTTTAGCCGCACCACCCATTTATTTTTTTTAAGTCATATTTTGCCCAAATTAAAGGACTTATAATGTAGGCAAGCGTCACGAAAAAAATTAATTTGAATTTGAATTTAGGTAGAATAAGGTACTCAACTAAAATATTAACACAATACGCAGAATAGTTGAATCATACACAACTGTCGCAAGTTAACTGAAGTCCGTGATCAATGATAATTAATAAGAGTGCCAATCGGATGTTGTTTTTAGAATTTGTATTAATTTTAGATTTTAGAAATTAAACTATACGAGATTATGATACTAATTTTTATTATTGCTGTACATACAAAAATATTAATATGTTCATTTTCCTATACAAAACACACTCACATAAACAAACATACATAAATGCATACCCATACATACAATGTGTACGTCCCCGCATACGACTAAATATAAATATATATATTTTATCTAAGAACTGTGCCCTCAGCACAAGCTTTGCTTAAAGGGGGTACTGCAATATATTAAGCTCAATTCCAATTATCCATTAGTAAAAATGTATCGTTGTTCATTGTGACAATAATTTATTAGTACAAGGTATAATATTTTCTGAAAATATAAAATAGGCATGTTTTTGCGCTAATAAAATATAATAATGGTAAAACAGCAAGAACTGGGCACCGGCCCATTGGGCTGCTTTTAAAATCAGTAAGGGGCCAATCATAAATGCCCACCTTGCCCCGCCCCAAATGATGCCACTGCCTTACACCCTGATTTTCCAAAGTTTTATATTTGTAAGACAGAGTCTACATGTCATGCGGGTGTAGAGTCCTCTTAATGGAATAATTAAAAAATAATAAAAAAAATTCATTTATTACGACTTTAAAATTTGTAAAAAAGAGTATCGCTATTGGTAGATACTCAAACACAAAAAAAAAAAATGATTTTGCGTGAATGTGTTTTTGTTGGAGAGAAAAGTGTGCTGCCATTATATTTTTTTATTTTTTATCTTGGGGGAGGCGGCAAAATTGGGTTGTCCTGGGATGTAACTGATTCAAATGCAATAATGTAAAATTATCATGATATTAAAGTATTGATAATATATAGGCCATATGGCATATAATTAATTGCATTTGGTCTTCATAATAACAAATTATTTTATTTTTTAGGTGAAATATTCATGTAGGTAGCAATAATATATACCTAATACATATAATTAAATATTTTATTCATTTGATACAATGACTTACGAGATACCTATCTAATTGTACGCAAACATGTATTGTAATAATATTTATTTATGTCAAACTTTGGATAATATTAATTCTGGAATAGTAGGTACCTAAGTACTCTTCCAATATGCTATCTACCATAAATATTTTATCTACCGTAATTTTATGATAGTTTAGTATGATATCTACCGTATGACCGTATGCTGTATATTATGTATACTTTATCATTTTGCAATTAAGATTTAAGATTAAGCTTTTATTGAAACCCCAAATTATATTATATTTATAACTTAGTAAGTTAGGTAGGTTAGTAGGTATATCTTTATATTATACCTGTTTAGTGTGTGTTTGTGAGTCGTGTCGATTATACCTATACGTGGTTTTACTGTGATTTATTTATTATTATTTAATAATTATTATTATGAGTTTGTCAACTATGAGTTATTTATATCGACACATATATCAAAATGAGGAGATCTGCGAACATTTTTTAAGCATACGCGGTTTATTACCAATTGACCAAACATGTACAAAGGTAATAATTTGAAAACAATTTATAATCGATGTACAAAAAAAGGGTGCCAAACATTTTATTCCATACGCAAAAACAATAGCTTTTTTACGTATATGGATAGAAATGGGAAGTGTAACAGTGGTTTAAATTTGTGCGATATCGTAGAACTTGTTTGGTATTGGGTATTTCAAATAAAGGTAACACAAGCCGAGGTATTTACGAAAAGATCAAGATCAACTATAGTTGACTGGTATAATTTATGTCGAGACGTAGCAGTAGCTGAATTTCAAAAACGTAAAAAAATGGGAGGTCCTGGCCTAGTTGTACAAATAGATGAATCCTTGTTTCAAGGTAAAAGGAAATATAATCGTGGAAGATTACACCTTGGAGACCGCAAACCCGAAGAAAATTCTGATGAAAATGAAGAAAGTTCAGATGAAGACGAAGTAATAAGTAATCAAAATTACGGACAACGAATTCAAGGGCCATGGATTTTTGGTTTGTGTTGTAAGCATGATGGCATTTTAGAGACGTTTTTTTAAAGTTGAAAAGCGTGATCGAAATACATTACTACCAATTATATTAAATGAAGTTGAACAAGGTACTACTATATATTCATATAAATGGCGGGCGTATTCTACTTTAAATGAACATGGGTTTATCCATAAAACGGTTATTCAGAAAATTCAGAAAATTTCATTGATCCAATAACTGGTGCTGAGACCCAAGTCCCAAACTATAGAAACTCTTTGGAGACACGTCAAAAATAAATATAACATTAAAACCCGGGGAGTGACTAACATATTACAATCCCAACTTCAAGAAGAGTGGTGGCGCTCGTTACAAAAACCAACTGAAGACCTGTTTGAATCATTCCTCGGAGCGATCAGAAATACGTATACTACACAGTATAAAAAAAATGACAAAGAAGAAATTCTGCATTATAAAGGTAAGACAATTTACATAACATGACGGTTGATATTGTTGATAAAATATTTACGGTAGATAGCATACTAAACCATCGAACGTGCAGTAGATAGCATATTGGACGAGTACCGGTACCTAACTGGATAATAGATTCAAAAATTATTAATAAACAACTAATATTTGAGGCGTCTATTTAAAGTTTTTTATGTTTATTAAAGAAGATCCCAGTAAGAAGTTTTAATAAATTTTTAATATTTTCAATATTTAACCAATAGTGCCCAAATTGAATTGGAGGCTGTACAAAATGTCTGGACAATGTTAACTTATTCCACCTCTTCCCTCTAAAATCTGAGCACAATGCCCGTAATCTCAATAAATTAATAAATATTATATACTAATTGAATTTTTTGTCTCAGGAATGTATAATCTACAACTATATTATACATTGAATGACAAGAACATGCTTTTAAACATACTATATATAAAAAAAAAAAACGTTTTGTAAACATTTTACCATTTCACTTCATGAACCAAATTATTAATCAACAATTATAAGTTTTTAAACAACTAATTCAGCAAGCTTTTTACTCCTATTTATAAAATATACTATATGTATATAATATATTATATAAAATCAAATCAGATTGTTTTGGGAAATCAGTTTTAAATTTTGATCTCAATAGTAGTGTAAACTGCCAATTAAACAATATAAATCTCTTGATTTTGCAAAATACAAAAAGTTATTTAGGGACTTAGGGTAGGGGACATAGATACGTTATAATTTTAAATGAGGGAACATAGTGTAATAAATAAAAAAGCAAGGCATCCACATTAAGCCAATGACTGTTGACGAGATTATCAAGAGCCCATAGTCACACTTAAGGAGTTTGAAAGTGTTTTGATAGTTTAGTCAACATACACGAAAGCGGTAGAGTATTAACTACAATAAAATATAATCTACCTACTTGAAAACAATACGGCAAAACATATACTGTTTTAAGTTAAAAACTCGATCTTCAATAAAACAAATATAGATAAATATGAATTTAGAATACTTACTTATCACTATACTAACGCCACTGAGAGAACGCTTCTCGTTTGAGCATCCAAATAACGGAGCTTCGCGGGTTTTGTACCGAAATATCTCCCACTCTAGTCGCTGCCGTAAATTACCCCGCTATGCAAAACCGGTGTCCGTAGGTGGAAGTGGCAGGCTAGCGTTGGGGAAGGTTTAGTTTTGGGAATGAGCGAGTCGGACAAGTTGTGGTCGCTGCCAAGAAGCGTTCTCTCGTTGGCATTAGTATAGACATGAACTGATTAGTTTGTTAGAAAGAGATAATGACTAAATTTCTACATTGCATGTAACATGTGAGATGGACATTCACAAATTCCAAAAATAACTAAGACTTAATATTAAACATCCCTTTCCACCAATCTCAATTTGGTACATATAGTCTGTACCAAATAAGAGCGCACCGCGTTGGCGCATACAAATGAATCGCGGGGCGACGTCCGGACCCCCCTGGACGGGTCTATTAGCTCTGTGATTGGTCGCCGTAGTCGGCTATGATCGGCGTCGTCGACGATGTTGCCGCCGTACATACAGGAAATTGTAGTAACAACGCGCTACCGCGTATTACATAGTAAAATAATAGACCTTTTTTTTGTCTTTTTTTTTAAAAAAATTCAATAAACAGCGAATGCGCACAAAAAACAAAAATACGTGTTACCGCTAAAGACCGTTAAAATGGTGTGACAATATAACACACTCTGTATGAGCGGTTGACCCTTGTGGCGCTGGAACGCACGACGGTAGCGCTCTCTGACATGCGCGTGATATGACCGGTTTTTGTGCGCCGCCCGGTGCGCTCTTATTTGGTATAGACTATAGGTATTTTTACATTTATTAGTAAGTAAATGTATTTAAATCCTATGTATACAGTGATTATTTTGTATCAGTGTATGAATTTACACCTAAGGGAAATAAAAATTGGTTAATACTCGAGGGGGAAAAGTACACTGCACAAGTATTTTTCTGCCAACAAATTTAAAAATATCTACTAATAATGTTTCAGCACATAATTATTTTAAAACTAAATAAATACCTAAAATTGTCCTTTGAATGAGCAAAAAAAAAAAAATCTTCATTCCAGGCAATTATATTTCTAAGCACATGTACACATATGCATATTAGGGTCTAAGGGTAGCAAAACAAATACTAATTACATTTAGGCATTATAATAATTGCGAGATAAAATTTTAAAAACTAACCCAATACTTAACACGTTAAGTGCCATGCGGCTGCCGGCGGTCACACGATCATGCATCATCTGTATGCCAAGTATATTTTTCAGTGTCATTCCAAATTTATATATTATACAATTTATTTGAAATAAGTTTAAAAATATAAAAAATATATTTATTACATCAAAAAATTTGTAATGATTCGCGCTACGCCTCGACGCTTTTATGGTGCATTATTGTAGCGCCATTGAAAAATTAATAATATAAAACCATATTAATTTATGCTGGTGGTCATGTGGCCTCGTAGTAATGCCGGGGGTGGCCACAAAATCATGAAATTTGAGATTTACAAATGACTGCCAGTGGCCGCATGGCACTTAACATGTAAAGATAAATTTGGAAGGGTCATAGAGCAATAGAAGCGAAGGTATTTTACCACCAGTACCACCTTGTTTAAATTCTATGGCTAATTATCTAATCCTAGTTTCACCTCAATAGAGGTAATAACAATAATAGCTATAGTAAGAACCTTATTATAGGTAGTAATAATAATAACCATAGTAATAATTCTCGAGACGTCATCACCACATTGCATTAAAATATTTATTAATTACCGTGGTGTCATAGCCTCTACCCAACATGTTTTACACGGTATCTCACCATTGCAACTCCTATTATTGAGTGTAGCTCTAATTTGCTCCACATCTAACTTCAACTTCTCGGCTGCTTCCAAAATGTGGGGACAGTCTGTATCTTCATCCATGACTTGTAGAGATGATTGAAGACGTCTTTGGAAGACGAGAACGGTCAGTAACAAGCAATATCAATTTTACAAATCGGGAACAATTTGTCGATGACCTAATACAGATACATACATAATATAAACGATTTAGTAAAATATTAATAAACAATAATACCTAAATTTCAGTAATTAATTATATTAAAATAATACGATTCAATAATTTACTGTACCTATTACTTAGAAGTGGCTAATGAAATTGTATTAAATTTTTTCGACTCTAAACTCTAATGCAGAAATAATACTATATATATAAGTAAATAACATCTTTAAGCTACACCGTCATATTCAGGGGCATTACTCACTCGCTGTTGTAGTGTAGTTGTACCAGTAACGGTTTCGGGTGACGATCGATTGTAGCGGCGGAAATCGGCGGAGGTGGTGTGATGGTAAGGCCGTAATTGCCTCTGTGTCAGCGAAGACAAAGACGGGACGTACTAATAACAACCGCCGCCGTCGCAGTCAATAGGTACGATTGAATAACAGCGACGACCACAGGTCAAGCAGGAACGGCCGCACAGCAACCAACTACGGCACTCTGGTCTGAAACTGAACACTGGTAGTATGAAATATGAATGTCCCAATAGTCTGATAGTACGGCGGAACTGACTGGAACTCGGCGCATGCGCAGAGCGTCGGCGACTGGTGGACGACGTACGAGCAACCCAGCAGTAGAGCGACAGCGACGGAGCCCGTTCGGAGAATGGGCGCACTGAAACAGCCGTCGACCGTCGTCTCTCTATCCGCGGATCCGTATTCCGTCGGGATAATGACAGTTGACGGGACGGGAACGGCGGACGACGAACCGCAGTCCGCTTGCGTGGCGGGGTGGGGATGACCGACGACGTTGGCTGGCGGGCGGGCGGGGTTGACGGTGTTGACGGGCGGGCAGGGTGGACGGTGGCGACGGACGGCCAACTGCGTTATTTCTACGAAAACAGCTGTTCGTCACGGCGGCGCACTGTAGAAACATGGTGCGACACCATAGTCAGGCGCTCTGGCGGCGAACAATGGCAGTTCCCCTCGGCCGAGCTTTTCCAGTGTTCCACGCCACGAGACGTGTTGCTCTGATCGTTGGATTGCCCGCACGCGCACTTTAGATTTGTCCGTCCTCACATTGTACTAAAATGTAATATTGTATATCGTAGTGCACTAGTGCGTGCGTATGCCGTACAGAATATTAGAATCGGTGCCCGAGCTGCGATCGATCGAGCTAACGCGGCGGCCTACCGCCTACGTGGGAACCCCAAATGCTGCGCACGTCGTGTGCGTAATAGACCGGGAGGCTGTTCCTACGAAATATAATAAATATGTTCCTACGGTTTAACAATCAAAATAATATTTTGTGGGATCACACAAACGTCACAAACTGGTGCGGCGTATATCGGCGATAAACTTGTTTTTTCCCCTGCCGAAATCATTGACATTTCGCAGGATTTCCCCGCACACGCACTATGCAATATTGTATTATTATTTTATTATTTCTTGGTAATATTTTCATCGGGTCTATAGCAAAAATGGAAAATGGAATGTTTACGAGCCTACGGTTCCCAATTATAGCGTGTCATCCTGGGGCAGCTGTGATCGACAGTGAAATATTCTCGTTAAAACCAAACGAACAGACTTTTAGAACCAGTTTTCGTGAATCCTGAAGTACACAGCAATATTGTTCTGTGGAGTATAATATTATTATAGTCGTGTATATAATATTAATTGATACCCTGCAGTGGCAGTCCGTGCACAGCAGGCACTTATCCTTAATTTAAAAATAACTCTCGAAACATTTTTTTCTCACTTTTTCTCTCTCTTTCTGACATCCGAGTAAGATAAATCTCTCCGTCCTGCCATCTTATACTAGTCGAATGGCAGGCCTACTCGCCGACAAAATTTAATGTCTATATGCGGTTAGGCTCCTACACGCCCCTTATGCATTCTGACTACAGCACGATTGTCAAACAACACACAAGCTATAGCTGCTATTATATAATAATATATATAAAACTACATACAGACTTCAATCTACAGGCACACCTCCCCACAACCTTTAGTCGTTAAAATATATAAAATAATAATAATATATTATACAGTGTAAGGATGGACACGATGTATATATGAGGAGATAAAACGAGTTTTCTCCCCTTCATAAATCATGCGAGTATGGGACAACATTAGGTAGGTACGAGGTACCACTCCTGCGGATCTACTATTATATTACTATCGGCCATCGAGAGTTTCAACTTTTAACATAACGACTATACCTATATACGGCTATACGTTTAAATGTATAATATGGTCGGTTAGGCTCACCGCCTCACCCTTATATTTTATATGATGTTCACGACGACTACCGCACCCCTCACCAACACTCCCCCAGTACGTACACCACCGAAAAATGGAAACCAGCTGCGCCTAACTCTTACTTATACTGTACATGCTGTGTGCACACCCTCGGCTCACGTTAAAATGTTATCGCTTGCAGACAGTATTCAGCAGTTGCTGTAGGTACATAATAAGTGTCCCTTCTTGGCAGCTGCTTCTCCGACCCCCCGATGATTCGCGGGACGTATAAATGTATACTATAGATGTACAACAGTCGTCGAAAAAAAAATAAAATATATGGTTAGTGAATACATATATAGGTACCCGTACCCGTACCAAAACATATATATTGTATAAAATATATTTATACATTATATAATATTATTGTACCGACGAACATAAACAGGTGTCCGCAGTCCGCACTCCTCCTAGTCACGATAATTATATTATGTATGATATTTATCACATGCTGCGTTCAACATAATGTTATATACCGATGTGACTTGTTTTTATTGGATGGTGTATCATAAAATCATAGAAGTCTAGGAGATGAAGTTAATTATATTAGTGTCATACACTCAAACTAGGCATCTATAAAGGTATCTAGTACCTACTTATAAGTCATACGGATACGGGTTACACACGTATTTTCAAGTTGGCCAAAATATCTTCGTCCTGTTTGTTGAGAATCGCATTAAAAAAATCCGGGATATCCGTTTAGTAAAACTAGAAATTATTATTAAAAATAATACAATAATTATGGTTATTATTTACTAGGTCTTGTATAATATGAAAAAAATCGTATTAATTATTCATACAAAATAATAATATTTAGGTATATATGGCTGTATTTTAGAAAAAACTCGACAAACCAGATAATTAAGATAAACTCAGTTTTCAAAGTCCAAAGAAAGTAGATACTTATATACATACTTATATTAATATTATACTAACAAGTTGTGATATTTCCGATGATATTGGTAATTGGTAGGTAACTGTTAATTTCGTCAATAAATCATTAAATATTTTAATTAAATGTTATATTAATATAATTGAAACGTAATTCTTCATAACATCGATTTTTTTTCCTTTTACACAATTATATATTATTTATGGTAAACGGACAATCGGTCCCCGGACAATTGGTCCCCACGAAAAAGTGCGGCATGCGGACAATTGGTCCCCGTCATTATTTTACACGCGGACAATTGGTCCCCGGTAATATTTTATGTTATTTAATATTTTATTTTTATTATTATTAACCAAGGCCGTATGTGAGGGGGGAAACAAAATTCAATAAGATTACAATATACATATTTTTGACCCCCCCCCTCCCCGAAAAATTCCTGTTGTGTATATATTGTATATATAAGAATTTACAGTACCTAATATATGAGAATGTTTAAAATTTTATTAAAATAAATATTATATTTAATTATAAAATAAATTTTATTATTAATTTTATTTAACTTTTTTTATTATTTTTACTTTTTTCAGTGTCACGAGAATTTGAATTATATTATATGTGAATGTTTTATGTTAAAAAATTATTTTGTGTTTAACTTTTAAGCCGGGGACCAATTGTCCGTGTATGAAATTATGACGGGGACCAATTGTCCGCATGCCGCATTTTTTAGCGGGGACCAATTGTCCGGGGACCGATTGTCCTAGATCCATTATTTATACCTATGTATTGGTCTTTTTCACAGTAGACTTATTTAATCTGACTTTTTGGTAGTCTACAGTTTGATGCATACTATTATATTATAATTATAATAGGTATGTTCATTGTAAATATACATTTGCTTCATCAACCGGAGCCTTAATGTTAAAATACATTAATTTAAGTAAGTATGAAAAAACGTCAAACATAGGTATATAAAGTTTATAATACCAAAACCTGCAGGTTGAAGAGTATTTTACTTTAGATACCTACCTAATTTATTATTTTTTCGGCAATCAACTATAGGTATACGAGTTATAAGTATTTACTGTATACATTACGTGCCGTAAACTTGATATTACTTACAGTAACCTAAGGTTAAAGTTTGCCAGGCAATGCATTTTTTACGGTTATCGCTATCGGCCATGTCGACATGTCGTATTTTGAATAATATGCTTTCCATCAAATCCGCAGCCGCCATCATTTGGGAAAAGCGAATGCGCAGATATCCGATATACTACACTCTCGGTGCTATATTGATTGGCCTACTTAGTAAAAGATCAATACTCGAAAAACGTGGTCGTGTTCAATATTTTAATTTACCTTTTGAGTTTTAAGCTTTAGTTAATTTACGAATTATACTTTAAATTATTTTCAATAATAATCACACTGTTAAATGATTAGTAGGCTACTAACTATACTACTATATTAAAGACGAAGTACCTATCGGCTATCATATTTTAAGTCATTGATTGTTGCTGTTTAAATAGGTACTTTTAAAATGTACAATATATTATATTATTATTAATATATTGTGTATTTGTGTATAATAATATATTATCGATGTGAATAAAGTGAATATAGTATTTATAAATATATTATGGTTATTCAGAATTTACTAAAAATTCATATGTATAATAATTTTTAAATTAGAATATTTCTAAGTTACAATACTGGAAGTATCTAAATCCCACATGAACCC